GTGCGTGCGTGCGTGCGTGCGTGCGTGAGTGAGTGACTGACTGACTGACTGACTGACTGACTGACCGACTGACTAACTCGAGACTGACTCGGGACGATCTCTTCACTTTTGATTATATAACGATGTAACCATGTTTATTAAAACTGAATCGTTGGATAATGCAATTTAAGAGTTTTCATTGGCTTAGCCATCATGGTATATGAGCCATTAGACCATCCTCCACAAATAAGGTAAGCGTACACGTAATTTTTGGGGGCGTTTCTATTTTTATTTTATTTTAGTTTTTAAATATTTTGAGGACGTTTTTAATAAAACAGTCATTCCACTCGCGCTTGTTGGATATGAGTTGAAGATAACCAACTCGGCGCTACGCGCCTCGTTGGCTATCTATCATGTCATAACCAGCGCGCGCTCGAGGAATACTTCTTCAATGTTTACGATGTATAATGTTTCTCAAGAAATTATGTGTTTGTCTTAATTATTACCTATATTGGTTATTTACACGAGCAACTCATTCACCAGCACGTCTCCAACGAGACCATATTCAGTGTCGGAACAGTGTCCTTTGGTTCTACCCAGGTGTATGAATAGCTGTGATTACAGTCCTCAGCGGTTTGACATACAAGCGAGGCAACCTATGTCGACCGATGCGTCGACCCTGTCCTCCTCGTTCGTTTCTCAACAAAAGACCATTTCATCGCAGGCTCAACTTTATGACAGATATTTGCTGCACCCTGCGTTGGACCAACATTCCATGCAGGAGGTGTAGCAATACTCGGTCCCAGTCGCTTTACGCGACGGTAAGCGGCTTTGAGGGCTGGTATTTGTGTTGCACTGAGCTCTTCATAACTTGCTACAGACTCCGTTTAGCGAAATTAAATATTCTGCTCGTTTACGTGAGTATCGGCTGTTGTTCTTTCCATTTGTAAATCTTGCCTCGTCCGCTCGGCTTCTTTTACAGTGGTTATATCGCCAACAAGGCCCCGCCGACTGAATCCGAACAACCGCAAATACGCCCTCCGATAGGAACGATTCATAACGCCATAAATTATGGGATTGATAGCGGAACTGGTAATGCCAAATATGGTGTACATGTAGTAGGTCCCGCGGGTCAGTTCCCATTCCGACCCGAGAAATGCATCGACAATGTCGATGACTAAAACTGGGGTCCAACACAAGACAAAGCCAACGACGGTCGCGAATAAAATCTTTGTGACTTTGATATCCTCTAAGGAGATTGCTGTTTGTCGTGTGTTCCCTGTTCGAAGGTTACTAGCCACTGTTCTCTCGTGCGTCTTCAAGGCCTTGAACACGCTCAAGTAGCACAGAAAGAGAACCATCATTGAAATGACGATGAAGATGTAGAATGGAAGGACGAGCAACGTGAACTTTGCCTCCATGAAGCAGAAAAATTTGCCAGGTTGGAACACATAGTCTTTACCAGCCGCTGTATAAGTCAAAGGTGTTATGAAAGCTGCAAGCCAACCAGATACCACGATCAGTATAGCGTTTCGTGGAGTGTAGATGAGTCTGTACTTGGAGGTTTTTACGATGTGAAAATACCTGAAACGAACGACAAAAGAAATCAATGTTTGTCATGTCTAAGCAGTTATATCGGAAGTATAAAAAAAGGACATAAAAAGGGGAATTAAACAAGAAACGCCAGCCAATTGTTATAAATCCACTTCCTCGCTAGCAGAGTCACAATCTTACAAAAGTGAACAAAATAATTTAAACCGTATTATAGTATTTTGTTACAATTACAGTCGAACCTCCCGTAAGCGACCACCCAAAATGTCAAGCCAAAGTGGCCGCTTACGGGAGGTGGTCACTTACGAGATCTTAGACTATATTGGGTCAAAATTTTGCCTCATTAGCATATGGTAACTGCAAACAATCATTGTTTGCAGTTACCATATGCAGTTACCCCATAAACCCACTTAATAACTGTCAGTAGCCACAAAAATATTTAGGCTTTCCAAAGTAGTTTTCAGAGTATCATGGTTCTTTTCTGCTAAACTACCTAATAAGGCGAACAGAACAAGTCTCACGATAGTTACAAATCGAATCTTACATGTTACAGCACCTCAGTATTATATGTCCAATTTCCCCTCTATTATCTGTCAGGTGGTTGCTTACGAGAGGTTAAAAACGAAAGAAAATTTCAAACTTTTACCTGTAAAAGTGGTCGCGGTCGCTGACGAGAGCTGGTCACTTACAAGAGGTTTAAAATATAGTGATTGACTTAAAAGCTTTTGGTATTTTCAGAAATAAACCTACCTATAAAAACAGCACTAATTAAAAAAAAAAGACAACAACAGCATTATATCTTCGGTATAAAATTAAACAAATAACTAAAACTCCAATGAGAGGCCTGTTCGTAGGTAATTAAGAAACCCACGGCTGTTTTTCGTTGTCTGTTTCCGCCATAAAATTAAGGGAACTAGAGTTGAACTTAAGAACAATGAAAAGACCTTTGTGAATACAGGCAACCCTTACAGGTTCTACTGAACAGGTCCATGACTGTGTATCTCCATATAGCTTTGTGACCTGAACTGATTTTAACATTGAAGCCCAGCGACCTTCAGTCCGCAAGCAGTGCACGAAATTAAACTGAGAAGTAAACATTTGGCCTAGTTTTATTAAGCTCTTGTCTAATTTGATTTTTGTAAAATCTATTTATTCATTTATATAATTCCGTTTTCTGATTGCCTTGTCGTTATTAAGCGGACGCACGCAATTAGAATCGAATTTTGTCTGTCTCCCGAAGATGCACCTTTGTGCAAATGTGTCAAAATGAACTTGAGTTTTGGTCAAATACAGACTAAAAATAATTGATGTTGAACGAAGAAGAAAACCTAAATGGTGAAGTAAAAATGGAAAAGAAACAACAAAATGAATCAATTTTAATAAATGATTTGGAAGACCACGAAGAAATTTTGACTTTCTAATACTTGGTAGTAAGACTTAACGTAAAATCATAGAGGTTGCCATGTTGCTTACCTTTACAGATCATTATATTACATGTTCATTATTTTTGCTATATTATTTGACGAAATAAAATGGGTTTGTCCCTCACCTGTTTATCGCTACGAGAGCAAGGGTTCCCAGCGAAGCACATGCTACTAACATTACCATGAAACCTTGCATCTGGCAAAGAATGTCGCCGAATAGCCAGCGCCCCATCATCAGAACTGCTATGGAAAATGGCGCGAGTAGATCTAACATGATGATATCCGATATGGCAAGAGAAATCACGAAATATGCTGGGATGTTACGAAGGCGATGGTTTTTATACAGGACTAAGAGAACAGCAAAGTTCCCTACAGTGCCAATGAATACAATAAAGGCGTATAAAAACGCTTCGCCGGCTGCAGAGGCTGTAGAACGAGACTGCAGTTCTTCATGTAAAGGAGATGAAGGTGACAATGTTGATGAAGACATGATTTTGTAGATCGACCAAGTCACACTTCGCTCAGCTCGCCGTCAGAGCGAATGTTATATCTATTGAGAAAAAAAAAGTGATTTGTATTCGTTTAATCAACGTTCTTAAAAATTTGATTCATCATTGCAGGGAGTTGTCAATCTTGGAAGGACATTTCAGCTGCCAATAAATATAAAGCCTGATTAATGAGTTTTATTTTTGAAATCGTCTCTTTTCTAGTCAGTTCTTTCAACACAATGACGTGTTAAATTTAGAAATATATTGTAATAAACTCTACAGCCCTCCTGCTAAATGATTTTCAGGTTTATCAATGCTGTTTTTGAGCTAGGTGTTTTGGTGAGAAGATAGAATAAACATTTGTTTTTAATATTGCTTGCATGTGTTGAAGGATTTAACAAGCGTGTTTTGCCTTTGAAACTTAACAGTTTTAGAAAAAAGCAATATTTATATCAGTGCGATTTCTTTTTTGTGAAAGTAGGCAATTAAATGTGCATGTTAAGTGCTTCCTTTGCGTAAACTTAGGAGTTGCTATCTTCATCCGGAAATGATGTTTTTTTGTAAAACGCAAAAAGAACAACTGGTCATTTATATATGTTGGTTTTTGAATCGACACACGCTAAATTTAGGAAAATTACTCTAAAAAGCCATGAAAAAAGAAGTTCATTTTTGACAGGTCACAATGACTGTGTCAATCTTATGTAAATACACCAAAGCCGGTCTAATATTCTGTTTACCGAGGCAAGAAAATCGACAACAATCCATGACTTTAATTGCCAGGGTCCATATCTTTTCCTCTAAGTGTTATCTTTTAAAAGTTGAAATTAAATTTCTTTCTTTCATTCTGTTAACAATGGATGATGCATTTTCAAATAGTGAAGCTAAATTTGTACGTCGTGTTGATAATTTCTTTATCGGTTGCCTAGAAAATTGTAACTTCTGGCAGGTCACTTTTTGTTCTATCAGCATTATCCCGGTAAAAACGAAACCCCAACACCATTCGAAGGATGTATGATGTATTTGTAAGAGAAAGCGAGACTCGATTGCAAAATTATGCCTATCATAACATACTACTGGAATCATTTATCATATTCTGTAAACATTCAGCTATAACCTTAAGAGTGATTAGGGAACTGTCTACTGGATCTACTCTGACTTCCATTTATTTTTCTTCTTGTTTGCGTGTGAAAGGAAACCATCTTATTAAGAGATTCCGGTGTCGCGTACTCTGCAGTGGATATTAATATTAATGTAATATGAAATTAAAACAAGTGCAATGATTAGCAATAATTCCGAATGATTTCTAATCAACCCAAAATAGTTCTCAAGGCTGACAGTACACCAACCAGTGGATTAATATGTTCTCATAATACTATCCACTCCGGCTAAACGTCTTTTTAACCAAAGCTTGGTACAGCACGATGAAAGCCAAAAAGAAGGTGAAACGTAGAGCTTTGTATGTAATTTAGTCAACCGACCTTATTCATATTATTAAAATAATATATCAACTGACCGTCTAGTTGCACTTACCTTGGGAGACAAAAATTCCTCTACGTGAAGGTTTCCTCTAGTCAATCGCCGAGCAAACAGAGATGGGGATCTGTATCTACTATAGCCCCTATAGTCATTTTAGGCAGCAAGTACTCTAGCTAATTTTAATTTTTCTTTCTTTCAAAAGGTTCTTTAATTTGCGATAACGATTATAATCAAGGTTGTTGTTGAAATGTTCGGACGTTGTATACATATGTGCACATGTGCATCTCTAATACCTCTGCTGGCATAGCACTTCTGAGTTCAATAGAAAGTTGACAACGAAACATAATATTACGGCGCTAAAGCAAACACGAAGGCAACGGACACGAAAACGCCACCGAACAAAAGGTTTAATGAGCAGAACAATGGCTGTGCACATTTCGTAGCCATCCTCTGCAAAACAACAACGTGAAATGACCAAGTTCTGCGCATTTTGGAGAACTTGGGTCACGATGGCTAATTTTTCCCATTTCCTTTTGGAATTTATCCCTGGCATTACATATTTAGTTTGAGCAGGTTTTAAGGCCGATCGCCCCACTAAACAGATCTAGATAATTGCGTCTGCCTAACGTCTACGAGAAGGGTACAATCAAACGGTACATACTTAGCTCCTAAAAAGTCTTTTATAAGTGTTGAGAGACGAATTCTTTTGAAGAGACAGAGCAGAAAAACATGGATAACATCAATTTTTAATGGGAGATGCTGACACATGAAATATTCATTGCTTTTGAATTTAAATCCTCGAGAACGTAGCGAATTTAAATAAAAGTGTTCAAGCTCTCACACCTTAGAACTGTTATTAAACTAGACCGTAATAAACGTTAACTTATTCTTCCACCTTTCACACTGTAAATTATCTTATACTCTAATCACCCTAAAACGATAAGAACTGAAATGTTTTGTAACTAATGCTTGAGCTAATCTTAATAAACACAAACACAGTTCCAGGAGCGAGCATATCGTTCCGTGATACAGGATACAGCGAGCGTCAAGGCCTGGCCAAACGGTGCATGATAGTCGGCGATGATAGTTGAATGACTCTCCCCGAATTTTCACCGACTATCATCAACTATCATCGACTATCATGCGCCGTTTGACCAAGCCTTAACATCCTCATAAAGAAAATAGAGCCGCGGTGAAAAAAACAAAAACAAAAAATTCAACTGAGCAAAGTTGAAAAAATGCCTCCGGTTGGCTCTTGCATAACTTACAAAATCTTAAATAGCCCACTAGCCCTTAGGAATCCATCATACCTGTAATTACACCTAAAATACGTCTACAGTTAACACGAATGATACGTAATGAACATGTTCACTTCAGTGTAATAAACAAAACGTTACAAAACATATATATATCTCGACCTTTATTTTCTCTCGTTGATAATGGAGTCAAGATGAATTTTGAGCGTCATAGTTTCCTTTCGCTTATTTTTGTAATAAGTTGTATTTCAAAATATTTTCTTGTCACACAGAAAGGTCCAAAAATGACTCGGTTTTACCCTGAAGGCTATTATGTGACGTCAGAAAAATAGGTTCTTTCGGAGTTGCATGTAGCGTCCACGTCAAAACGAGGCCTTCCTTCGAAATTAAACCATTCATCGCGAAATGTGTTTCACCGGCAGATTCATTAGATCAAACTCGTTCTTTATGGTTAGTTTTGCTCGAGGACTAGTTTCCAAACAGATGCGAAAGGCAACTTGGAAATGACCTATTCCACTATTTCACAACTGAATTAATTGCATTTGATGTAGAATTATTTCTCTGGCATCGTGGTTAACCGTGAACAATGACTTTCAACCGTCTTTGAATAGAAAGCAGCAGGTTTTCACTGTATGGGCATAACTTAATCACGTTTTGTAACGGTGTAATGACAACACTTGTCCGCATTTCGTGATCATGTAATACACACTGTTGTTTGTTTTGCTTGTGGCTGTTTAGAAATACACATAGTAACAAAATACAAGTTTGACAGGCTTACGTAGATCCTTTCTTAAGGGTAACCGAGATCGAATTTCGAGTTACAAGTCTTAAACCACGCAAATTTTTTTTTTAAAAAAAAAGCATAACAGCAGAAAAAAAAAAAAACCGTAATAATAATTATTCGAAGGGAACTGAGTAATTTGCGTTAACTTGGCATTAGATGTCAGTTTGTAAAGTAAGTTTCCGTCATAATTAATTTTTTTTTTTAATTACCACCTTGGGCAATTGCTGTTCTGAATTTTGCCGGCAGGCACGGGCGAGATTTTAAACCCGTTCAAGTCACATACAAAGGAATATCGCATAAATATACGTACCGCCGACTGGAATACTGTCTTTCTTTCAAAAAAAGAATCCCCTAATACAAAGAAAAGAAATAAAGTCAATGACAAGGGTGACATCGTTGAAAAAGCAGGTTCATTAAACGAAACATTGTTTGGGTCTTTTTAGCGTTTGTTATCTGCCAAGTAGGAACTCGTTTGCCTCTTATAACGTCAAAAAAGAAATCAATCATTATTAAAAGTATACAGCTGAAACGAGTCCAAAATTAGCACACGAAGCTTATACTTGGAAGTTTTCCAAAATATGGACACGTTTCTGAAAAGCAGGGTTGATTAAGTTTAACTGCTCTTTTTACGAATGTGTGAAATGATTGCGGCAAAATAGTTAAAGATCGTTTATAAGCGGTATGCAATGAAAATCAACGCACTTGAAAGTAATATTTTTCTTGATTGAAATTTTGGCTTCTTGAGGGTGCAGAGAATGTGGTATCCATAAGAAAGCAGTGAATAAATCGTTAAGTATTTCCATATTCTGTTTTGGTGTTATAGGCAGGTTATAAACCGAGTTACTTTGGCTGTTTAAATAAATTGAATTTACCAGATATATTGCGGTAGATAACTGCCAGAAATTCCTTATCAGGAAACACGGGAAGGCCGTTTATTATTTTGGTATTTGTTCTGCGTTCTGTTAACACTAAAAACCAGAACAGGGTGGAGTAGTTTACAACTTAGAAATTAACTTGCATGTACTCTTTTTTTTTTAGGGGATTACATTTCACGTACCTGAAATTTCCTTCGGTGTATTAAAAACAGTTCGCTGTTTGGTTTGTAAGCAACTTAACAAGCAGGTGGACAGTGTTGTAAAGCTCTCCATGTCAGCATCTCGCTTTTAATCACTCCAATACAATAAACTGTGAACCATGTGATTGGTTAGAAAAGCTTGTAAATAGAGTGACACAGAATGACGTCACGATGCTTCCCGAAGTCCTTAGCATCGTGGAATCTCAAAACGAAGCGCAGGATAAGGTTTCGTCAAACTGGGAATTAATTCAAATTCAAGATTTATTGCATGTCAAGTGAATAATCAATGTCGAGGCATATGTTACCAAAATACGGAATAATCATCCTTTTCAAGCAAGACTTTCGGCGGTGAATCGTCGTGGAGTACATTCCATTGTCTTATTGAAATGGTGCGTTAAACAGACTGGTTCTAGTGGTGAAAGGAAAAACACTGTTTGGTGGTAATTGCCGCAAAAAGTGTATTTATGTAACAGATCTAAATGATAGCAGAATTCGTGATGAAAAGATAACGCTCTTTTTGGTAGCTTTTCAAGCAGTTGTTGGCTGCTCTACGTTCTGTTTGGACTCTGCTTACACTCTCGCTGCATCTCTTCAAGGATCACTGAACGTTATATAACAGCCTTTAAAATAAGCACAAGGGATGTTTGGTTTTCATTTTGTTCAGCGTGATCGGTCCTCTTGCTGAAGTAAATTTTCCTTAAAGGACCGCGCCTGCACACAATTATGGGACATGTAGCTGCATTTCTCGCGTCTTATAGAGGAGACAGGGATCTACAATATTCGCCATAATGTTCGCCAAATTTGACAACGAAATGCGCTCAACAACACTAATTCGCTAGCTTTCGAGGGTCGAATGACTTTCAGGAGACTTATAGAACAACAGGGAGTGATGGACCGGCTTTTTCCACTATTTATCATGAAATTCAACTACAAAAACTAACGCAAACTACTGAGCATGTTTCTTCAAGTACTCTAAATTTTCGAAACAGCAGACTTGTAAGGATATCTTTGATCCAAAAATTTAATGCAGTTAAAACTGTACTACAGCTATCAAGATACAGGAAACTAGGTTTGACATGCCAGTACGACTTTCAAGCCCCATTCAAAATGAAGAGATATTTGGTTATCACAGCCAACTGAGATTTTTTCATGTTTTCCAGATGTCAGCTCCTCTTGTTTTCTTTACCGCCTTTAATCCTTTACTCACAGGAAGAACTTGATGTTTCTTGATCGTCTGCAATGCACCAGCGGTGTTGCCTGTAAATAGAAAACAAAATAGCCTCAGATGTGTGTTATTGAACTATTTTAAGAAACTTGGACCTTTGCCATATAACATTAGACCATTAATGGGTGGTCCCGTTGAAAGATTGAAAGATTTCCCGAGAAATCAGTCACTAAGTGATTCATTACAAAACACAACAAAGATATCAGCAGATAAACCGCGGTCGTCGGTCAACATTCGCTAGGTTGAACACCTCCTGGTAAGCCCCAGAGACCCTGGGAGAGACAGTTTGGTAGATGCTAGAGACCTCCAAGAGGCCAACGCTTACCGCTCTGAAGCTCAATGTACACTGCTAGTAGTACAACACGCGCAGACAACTCCTTTGAATAACCAAGAGAACAAGCCTACAAACAAAGGATACAGGTTATCAGATAGTTCAGAAATGTCGCCGATTGCAAAGTGTCACAAGTGCTTCGTGTATGTAATTAGACAAAATGGGGTCAGCATAGATGCGCCTGAAGCCATTCCGAAATCATTTCCAGGTATTCAAGGTTGCAAATGAGTGAATCCTTACCTGTTGTAAACACTTGCGTGCCTTGTCAAACTCACTTCGTAAACTGTACACACCAGCTAGATTGACAAGAAACGTGGCTCTTGCTTCATTCAAAGACTGAGGAAAGTTCATCTTTTCACAACCTGGTTCATGAACAAACCAACAAAAATCAGCTGCAATGTTGACACCAAAAATAGTCACTTTTACAACGAATGCCTCTCTTACCAAAAAACTTGTTAGAACTAGCCAGTTCTATAGAAAGTGACCCAACTTTATCAGAGATACAATGGACATATTTCCAGTCTCAAATCATACGTTGTAGATTCAGTAAACTTCTGGTTTCTTATTCTGGTCTCGAACCAAATGCTGTTTGCGTTCGTCGGCAAATAGTTCCTTCACCTGAACTTGTTATAAAGTTTGCTGAGGTTTTTGAAAGTTTCATTCCACTCTACTTCCGCCAGAGTACAGAGCTTAAACCGTTATATCCGACGTCATCAATATTGACAATAAAACAAGACGAAAACAATGATGGAAAATAGGGACATAAATTCGGATACTTATAAAAACAATTTACGAGAAAGCAATGGCTTTTTAGGCTCAACTGAGTAGCAGCTTATTTGTAACAATGTACTTCGTGCCGGTGTTTTAGTCTTACCGTGAGGTTTAGAAGATTCTTTGTCTTTATCAACATTCTCGCCTGTAACAACTGTTAAAAGAATACTTACGTGTAAATACGTGTTTAAAAACAACATAAAAAGATGAACGATCCACATGTACGCGATTTGAGTAAGGTTGATGTCACGTAGAAAGTAAAATAAACACCAACGGATTGACTTCAAACTGTAAGGCCCCCAGTCCAGTAACTGCATTTGTTTATGTTATTGATAGCTATATGGTAGATATTAAAATTTGTTCACGGGATTATAAACAATTATTGGATGAGGTTTTTGTGATATCCAGAATAATCAAGGTCGAGGTAGGGGTTATCAGCCGAAGCCGAAGGCTGAGGCTGATAACCCTTACCGAGACCTTGATTATTCTGGATATCACAAAAACCGAATACAATAATTGTTTTATTATACATTGAACGAAAAAAATGGACGTCATGTTTTTGCCTCTTAACTGACGGCAAGCAACACAAAGCACGCCAACTTGACATGATTACCCTTAGAAATCATGCACCGCGGTCATACATGACATGATTACCCATGACCTTGAATGTCCTTGACATGATTATTGTATAATCTGCAGAGATGACGTCACAGGCGCTGATTTCGAAAATTCACTATACGCTTTCGGCCAATCAGAAAAGAGATAGTGAATTCAATGTATAATAATGAGAGAAAAGAGGGATAAAAGTGAATTCACATAAAGTATAAGTAATGAAGCAAATTCAGTCCAAAAGTTCTTTGGAGATAAGGTTTCCAGACACAATAGACAGTTAAGCTACACTGTAGTCACCTGATGTGTTGTCCGCAGCAGTACTGGGTGGAGTGATACTAATATTGCTGATGTTCTCTGGTGACAAGTGCATGATGGCTTCAGGTAAACGATTCAGTTTGATTAGAGCCTCTGCAGCATACAAATGACCCAGGAACCTGAAACAAACATGTTAACATGTCAGCTTCCTTCATCAGGAGCAAGGAAGCGACTATGGTACATGTACCAACAACGCGTTCACGAGAGGCCTCGAGAGTAATTATGCTATGATAAAAATTAGCAGTGCAGAGGAAGCACCTCTTACAGTACCAAGGATTTATCTAAAGCGAGTAGCCGCCTCTTAGACTAGGATGCTGTTTCAAGCTGTATCATGTTGTATTTTTGTATGAACAAGTTTGAAACATAACAAAGGCTCACCCTTCTTCACAAAAAACGTTTTGTAAGAGGAGAGGTTACTCACTTGAGTGCTCCGACTAGATTTGATTGAGACAGTAGTTTCTGCGCATGTGCCAAGGCCATCACATTGTCTCCCAGTCCCAGCGCGACATAGGCACTGCAGACTAGAATGGAACATCTGAAATGACAAACATAACAGTCAATACTACATAACAACTACTACAAATTCTCAGTTGACAAGTTAAAATCCTCTTGGATTTAAACCTTCCCCAAAGCGTCAACAACCACTGTTAAAACGATTACTTGACATTTCTTTACAGCAACACTGGATTTATTCACGCCCTCCAGTCTGGGAAATGAAAAGCTGCTTATAAAGTAACTTCTAGAGTTTTACACCAAAGATTTCTGCAACACTTCAAAGAAAGTAAAGGCAACATATGTTCATATGTTGTCGTTTATAGCGACCAATGCGCTCAGCTACGCCTACCTAGTTCACAGGCATGCCTCTTAAAGGGAAGGTTTCATGATTCGGCGCATATCTCTAAATCAAAATACTTTTGTCCACTTCTTATCAATGCTATCGCTTTTAAAAAACCCCAGTCAGATGTAGTTCAGTTATCACATGCTATAGTTAGTCATGGCAGAATGACAGATGACCAAAATTCTCAGAAGAGTTCAGTGGATTTTACCGACGCTGTCGACCACTGAATTTAGTTGACCCATACAACTTATTCTATGGTTGATGATTTTACAGCTATTTGCATGCAAAAGTAGGTAACTTGCTTACAATTGGTTCATAAACAATGAAAACTGGGCCTGTGACAGAAGGCGTGCACAGGCGAATAAATAATACAGACATGCGCTGAACCATGAAACCCTCCCTTTAAACTGAAGGAAATAGCGGATGTTACATGCCCGCGCGTGGATACGAATTTTATCTTCTCGTGTTGAACTCGATATCTCACTAGTGGGCGCTCGATATCTCACGAGTGAGCGTATCGAGCGCCCACTCGTGAGATATCGAGTTCAACACGAGAAGATAAAATTCGTATCCACAAGCGGACATGTAATATTCTGTTTATTATATAAACACATCCTAACGAAGACGTTTTTGACGATTTTCCGAAGATTTCCGACCACTTTCCGAAGATTTCCCAAATTGTTCCGAAGGCCAGACGAACGCTTCCGAACATTTCCGAACATTTCTTAAGATTACCGAAGATTGCTGAAGACGACTGAAGAAGATCCGAAGATGTTTTGATCATACATCAACAAATTTAAGTGTAGTTAAAGGGACAAAAGAAAAATGTCATCAAAAAGGAATATCTTCACAGTGTGAAAGATAAAAATAGTATCTTCACTGCACGCGATGAAGATATGATTTTTTAGTAAAAGGAAAAATCCTGGTATTTCACTGGTGTTTATATAACAAATAAATATATCAACCTAAAACATAATAGGCTCAAACACAATAGGCTTAAAAATCCCAGCTGGTGGAAGGTAGACCAGTTGGTTACTTACAAACATGACTGAAGAGTTGAACTAGGGTCTACCGAGAAATAGAGCTGGACTTGAACCCAGGACCTCTGGGTTTCAAGTCCGGTGCCCATACCACTTGGGCCCGCTGCCTCCATAAGACAGAAAAAATTAGTCTAGCAAATTCACATTTAGTACAATCTCATCTACCTCACCTATTCCTGTTTCCAATTTGTTTCCTATGGTTAGTCGAGTCCAATTTCAGAGATTCAAATCACTGTTAAGTTGGCTATGATTGTACTTGGTTGCCTAGCATTTTAAAGATCAGTTTACCGGTACTCACCTCAGGTGTGGAAGTTCACGAAGTTTAACAGGGGGCCCAGGGGGAGCTGGGATACTTGTTTCACTTTGTATTGACGAGGACCGACTAAACCCGCCACTGTCACTGCAACATGACATATGTCAATCAATAATTACCTTGTACTGCACTCTAGCCAATAACTTACAACTTTTTACTAATAATATATGTTGATCAGTTTCACTGGATTCATATACAACAATACACACATTGTATGCTGCATGAAATCAATGGAGCCAGAGAATTACCTTAGTTTGCAATACTTAGAATATTTAGAGAGCAGAAATCTTATGAATGATACATTAAGAAAAATTCTCAAAACACCCAGACTTTAGTTATATGAAAACCACGCATGACATATGGACTAGAAAAATAAACCAAGCATTAGATCTATTTTTTCAGTAATAAAAGAAAAAAATTCAAGTGCAAACTTGGACATGAATATTATAAAAACCATACCTTGAGGTATCTGTTTCTTGACTGACTGTGTCATCTTCCTTGGCCAGCTGACTCTCTAGCACACTCTCTGGCTCATGAACAGGAATCACTTCAGCACTTTTCAGCAGTAACAAAGCATTTTGAAGACATAATGAGGCAAATGCCAGGGTGCAGGCTGGCATAGCAGCAGACTGGCCCTTGCTTTCACTGAAAATAATACCCACTGTAAATTTTGTATCTAACATTATTCTGCAACACTTTGCAACACTTGGATTGTACTAGAATAGTAATTAACTGGGGATATTTCAGTGATGGAAGAAAAAAGTTTTGAACTACATGTAACATCAAGGCTCAGTAGCAGCACTAAGAAAAGTGAAAGAAATCATGTAGAAAACTTCTCTACCAAATGCCAGGACAATGAAACAAATTCAGGTTTTAAGAGAGAAGGAATTGTTCACTTTAATCAATTCAACAAAGTTATATAAATCCGCATCTGTAAGGAAAGAACAATTTTCGAGCTAATAATATACATGAAAAAATTACTTGATTCTGATCGGCTGAGAGCAGTGCAGTTCAAGTGTAACACCAGTGCAAAAAGCATCACACCAGTGCAAAACGTGTAACACCAGTGCAAATTACACATCGTAATTCTGGATTATTATTGACTGAAAGACAAAAGGAAATTTTCTTAGCCAATGATATTGCGTAAAATGATAACGAAAATGTTGAGCAGAAACTTTGAAAAAAGTTTTCTCGAATTGAAAAAATGGCTTCAAGAAAGATCTTCTGGCACTTCCTCCGCACAAATTTTACATGTTTAAATTATTAATAAGTAATCATATGGTTTTTCTCATTCAATTTGAATTAATTTGCACTTGTGAGTTTTTCAGAAAACTGAAATTGCACTCGCCGAAGCGGCTTGTGCAATTTCAGCTTTTAGAAAAACTCACTCGAGCAAATTAATCCCAAATTAAACTTAAAACCGTATGATTACCTATACTAATAAAGGCTTCTAGACTTGCTCAACCGAGAAGCATAACAGTCAAACATTCGAAAGACTGCTTTCCAACCATCATAGAAATGCAATAGCTCCACCACTCAAGCATCATAATGTACTGAGTTAAAGGAACTTTTAAGGGAAAACAGATCTTTATATTATTCAAGTAGACAATTTACTTACTCAGCACCACACTGTTTATCAGTTTCAGGAGAAAGAACAATCTTACGATGGGGCCCTGAGCCTACAACATCCTGAACAACATCACTCTTCTTGATGCACTGCTGCCGAAAGTCATCTGACTGTAACATACATGTAACAAGCAATTATTACTGCTGTAGTGCACAACTTTACTTTTACACCACTTTGATGGTGATTTTCTTCTCTGATATGTATTAAATTATAATCTGAAACAAGGGAATGTAATTAATTGTGCTATAAAAATTAATGTGAAACCAAAATGAAATTGAACAACAGCATACAACTCTTCACATCACATAATCATTGCTTTTTTTAGATTTCCGTGTACACATAATTATGGTAGAGGACAGACAAGAGCTCTAAAGCCTGGTTTTCACTGGGACATAAGCAAAAACATAATGATAGTGAGAGCACCCACAACACAAGTACAGTCGAACCTCGATTATCTGGACCTCGATTATCCGGACTATTCAATTATCCGGACTTTTTTCTCTGGTCCCAATTTTTTCATGAATATTATTTTTGGTTGAAAAGTTTTCAAGGCAGTTGATATTTTTCTTTCTTTCAAATCTAACTTTATCATATTCTGAAACAGCAGGAAAGAAAACTCAAGCTTGTTTGCAAAAATTTCAATCAAAAGTACTTAAACATCATCATTTCAGAATAACTTGAGCACCTTGCTTGGAATGCATGTTATATGACAATATATTTTTATTAATGTGCATGTGACCCTAATACAAGGCAAATGAACCTCACATTATCATGATGTATAATAAAAAACAAACATACTCTTGTCAACAGGAGGTAGTAAGGAGAGAGCCTTGTTGTTCTCCTGTAAGGCCTGTCTGAAGTAGAATGCTGCTAAGTTGTACTTGTGCATTTGGAAGTGAATACATCCCAGGTCATTGTAGTACATTGTGCTCACTGAATGACCTCGTTCTGCAACATCACTTGGCTTTGGTGCACTGTTCAGCAGTTTAATTGATTTACGGAAATTCTGGCGGAGGTACTCAAAGTTGCTCTTAAGGAACAGACCCTCTGGAGTCTAACAAGTAAGCACAAAATCAGTTTACACTATAGTACCAGCCTAATTTGGAAGACACAAATAACTACAGTAACTTGTAACCAAGTGAAGAAAAATAATGTCTGCATATATAATTCATAAAATATTCAAGTCAGCAAGCCATGGATTTCATGGTAATGATCGTTTCCAGGGTCCGAAATTAATGGTCATCCAGTCGTCAGAGACGACCAGAATTTAACACTGACAACCAAATCACAGAACATGGTTGCCCATTGGACGACCATAATTCAAGCTCCCAGCCTCTTGAAGATGTGAACAGTTGCTAAAGACCTTAAAATTTATAATCTTGGGTCGAGATTTCTGTATGAGAAATGGAACAGTAAAATAGCCAGTCCATTTGTTACGATTTGCACATGAACGTTCGTTTACTCCGCCATCTTGTTTTGCTTTTTACCCCTGAGCAGTAATGACCCAAACTCTTAGAAACTCCCAGATGTACATGCCATGTGCTTCTCTCAAAATGGCGGACTCTGTGGATTCAGTGAAGCGAAACACTTTGTTCCGGTATTTTAACACCTCCGAGAAAACAAAGGGTGATGATGATAGAAAACGAAAAGATGCACCAAAAGATTCGGAAGGCCAAGGAGAAACTGGATCAGAAAGCAAGAAAACCTGAATGGAAGCCTCTGGGCCTCAAAACTCACAGCTTCGAAAATGTCAGCTGCAGTGGAAAGCTGGTCGGCCGTGGCTCCAGTATTCCGAAAATACAAATTCTATGACTTGTTCATACTGTATACACTACAACACTGGAGGGCGAGAAGAGCATAGTCAAAGTGCATTGGCTTCAAAGGAGGGGTGTACAACATTTCGACTTGAAACACTAAGAAACATGCCTCCTTTTATTGCTTGACGACTAGATTTCATCTCGGACGCCTAGATCTGAAAAGATGGTTGTCCAATGGGCAACCTACTTCAAAAGTTAATTTCGGACCCTGGAACAATGACGCCAAACATGTGTTCCTTGTTGTAAACTTTGAAAATTCAATCTTTCCAAACAACATTCAATCAATCAAGTTTTGTCTCCACTGATCCACTGAAAGCAGTGCAGTTTTTTTATTGTTACTCCAGTAATACTGAACTAACAGCCCAACAGTATTTTTTAGACACTAATGCCTTGGTCTCTCTCTGATAATATGCCCCCCATTTTGTACCTTCCTAAGAGTGTTGCAATACATACAAAGATCTTACCATATTGTTTGTGTTAAGAACTGTTTTTATTTCACGTTTGCAGGCTTTCATTGACTTCAACAGGATATTTAGCCGTGCTTTATGCTGTAAACAAAACAAACTGATGTTAATAGTAACCTAATACTGTACACATGTTCTTTTGTACTCCTGATACTTACAGCAAGACTAACAAGACACCAAGACTAACATTCCCCTATACTTTTGCATGGGTCTTATTTTGCTATCTTTGGTAGATCATATAAAGTTAACTAAAACTACTCAAAATTTATCCAGACAGAAGTTGAAGAGCTCATAAAAAAGGGTTATGACAGTGATAATGAAGGCCACTAGAGAATTGCCCTGTATTTTATCAACAATTAAGCTGGTTTCTCAGTTTTACTCATGACATAAGGGATATCACAAAAATTTTACCCACCAATTTTGAACGATTTTCATGAATTCTAACCCCTTCATGAAATCTAAACAAAGGGCATTACCCAAGATGGCAAGACTGACTTTCCACAGTAAATGTGAAAGTCTGTGCTGGAATACCTTTTCCTCAATTTTCAGTTAATTTTTGCCAGTTTACAAGTGACTCTTCTTACCTAACCTCGTAGACAACCCAAGACCATGCCCAAATGTTACATTAACAAAATGTAAGTAATAATTTTACAAGGACAATATATGCAACATACACCACTGTTTCAGTACCTGATGAATACGGAGTTTTAAAGTTTCATCGACTTCCTTGACAGGCTGAGGTGCAGACTGGCCTGGTGGTCCAAGCTGAGCTTGTAATCCACCTTGGATGATCTGAGACTTGTACAAAAACATGTTCATTCAATAGTGGCTTATCTTAAGTTAGCAAATAAACAATGAGCAACATCAGCGATCACTCAAAAATTTGACGGTATGTTTATGCCATATACAGTAATGTGTGTTACATCAAATATAATTCACTGACCATGAATGAGCCTAGATGCATTTGCTCCTTGACAAACTGTTCATGCAATTGTTGTTGTGATTGTGGTTTTCAACTTGGAGAGCATGTAAAAAGGTTTCTTTCAAACAAATTTTGTCCTGAAAACCTTAAGAATAGCTGCTGCGCCCAGGACTACTAGATGGCACTTTTTGCTGGTCACCTGCGTTTGTAGGAAACCCTGAACAGATTGCACATTTTATGTCAATGAGGTCTTTGTGTTATCAAAAAGGTAAGTGGCTCAAATGGTATCAAAATGTGTATTTGCAACTAAATTTAAATCCAGTTGTATGAAAACAATGACATTTCAATGTTAACTAACGACAAGAATAATTGAATACAAGTAAGCTATTGACTAAAAGCTAAATACACTACTCGTACAAGATTAAACAGTTATTTGAATATTACCTCTACTGGTTTACTTGATCCAAATACCATGGATTCTAAAACTGTCAGAACATTATGAGCTTTGTCAGCCTAATAGAGATAAGTAGATGTAGCTGTGTAAACAGATTATTCCGAAGCATCTAACCACATAAACAGTATCTGTGTGAAGTTTACAGTTCAATTGATTTTAACAGTTTGAGTGCCAGGCTATGACATTAATGCATTCTGTAAAAATCTCTCTCCATGAAGTTTGTGCTGAGACTATGACACTTGATAGGTTCCATTTGAACAAACCAAACCTAAAACAATTGAGTTCTAGTCAGGCCTGAGGTCTAATAGGGATTCGGGGGCAAATGACTGCAAAATAGGAATACATGTTTATTACAGAGTAAGAGTATAACAGGAAAGACGTTTTACCAACACATAAATTGTATCACTGAGTGAGATAGTGAGATCTAAAGGCAATAAAACAGAGCAAAGCAGTGCAAGAACACTATGGTGGGTTACTGCACTGCAATACATAGTTGGAACAAGTTTCTACTCCTATCAGAAATTGTCTACATAATAGTCTCTGATGCTTTGTAGCCAGCCTGAATTTCTCTAGATGATTCTGGAGAGTGCAGACTCCTTAGAAATGTCACTTAATGCTAACAAGAGTTTTGAGTTACCAAGAGAAAAATTGCAGTAATGCAAGATGCAAACCTAAGGAAAGTCAACTTTAGTTTGCATTAGTGCAAGGTTTAAGGAGTCAGCTATACATGTAAGTAACAATTTCACTGTGAAACACAACATTCACCATGACTAGATGCACTGCACAGCATTACAAGATTCGGTTTTCTTAAAATGAGACCAGCGTAGTTGGAAGTTTTGTAAAAGGAGATCTTCACAATTTGTATGTGGAATTAAAACTCTCTAGACTGAGGCAAAGCTACTGAATAATTATGTTGAATGTTACAATACCTTGTAAAGTGCCAGATAAATTTCACTGAGCAAGAAACAGATTTTACATCCAATTGATTCCTCTATAAAAATAAAAAAAAATAGTTATGTACCAGGTAGAGCTACATGTCACAAGATCTTTCCTTTATGTTATACAGTGACAGCAAGTAAACAAATAAAAAACATACAAAATAAGGTAACATTTGTTTTTCAAAAATTACAATCATGAGTTACTTAGCAGACACAAACCAAGCTGCTCATGTTCTGAGTAAAAACTGCACGGTCTATTACCAAAATCTTCTTTTGTGTTGGTGGGTCAAACAGAAATTACATGCAGATACAATCACTGTATAAAGCAGTTTTCAACTGTGTGTTGTAAAACCAAAACCATAGTAATCACTCCGACCAATCACAATGGACACAGACAATCCAATGAACCAATCACAACTTGAACCAAAAACCAGTAGCTGAACCAAAGACCAGTACCAGTATCTGATGCAAAGTGCAAGCGAACAAGTTTTTCATGAAAATCATCCAGCAAAGTAATGCAAAACCAAAGAAAATGTTAATTACTTTCAACATGCAAGAGAAAACCACTCCAACAGTGTTAAAATATATAAATGACACCTTACCTAGAGGTTCAACAATCTTAAATAGTCTTTCAAGAATTGACAATGCTTTATTGTACTGTCTTAACTGAAAAAGAGCCAGATAACATAATAAACATTAATTATTAACTACAGCTGTGTTGTAACACCACTACAGTGTTTAAGTTCTCTGTACCCTGCCAGCTGTCCCTCTACCTTTCCCGGATAAATCAGAAAAGAGGAAGATGGCTTCTTCTTTCCTGATTTATCTAGGAGAGATCAAAGTGGCGGCTATCATGGTAACAATGTGCTGTCCTTACATTTTGCAGTACTTCTAAGAAGTTCTACCTAGCACTAATAAACTTATGTAGCAGTACTCACAGCTAAATTATCACATTCATAATTGTCACAGCTACACAAGAACAGGTAACACTTTGATGTCTACTTCAAAATGCAAACATTCATTTTAAGTGACATGGTCAATACTGAGTTGAAAGGCAAAACAAAAAAGACCAACTTTCCACAAGCCATGTCAATTTGCTAAACTTGTATTCAATTACAAAAGGTACAAGTACACAAGATAATAACCAATACAACTTACGTATTTCCTCGTTTCTGTATGTAACAGTAAAGGAATATTCCATATTGTCAACTTACATGAAAGTAAATAACAGACTCATTATACAGCAGGTAAGCTGTATCAATATCATCTATTTCTTCCCCAGTGTCACCACTGTCTTTTTCAATCTAAAACAAACAAAATGGTTTGTAGAATATCACATGTGGAGATGAAAAGTGACGTAAATACAGTTAAGGTCTTAATTGTACAGTGTTGTCATTATACTCACTTGTTTTCTTATCTGAAGTAAGTTCCTGCCACATTCTTCAGTTCCCGTACAGTTTAAGTGATAGAACTGTGCTACTGTTTTGTTATGCTGAACCTTTGGATCATTCTTCCTCAGCTCTGACAGTTTGTTCAATGCAACCAAGCATCTGTTATGGCAAAGAAATGAAACAAAACGTAAATCCGCTAGGAGAAGAAAAACTTAGATAACTACTATGATTTTAGAATTTTACTTCCTAATTTCAAAAAAATCATAGCATCTGGAAAAATTAAACTACATTTAAAATAACTGTAAAATTTCTCAGAGATTCATTACTCTTAGCAGTGATCAATAAATTATTACAGTATTGACAATAAGTATTTCAGTAAGGCAAACTCAGTTTTTAAATGTTTTAGTATTACTACAAATAAGAAACATCAACAAATAAGCCATATTGGTATTCTCAGCATTGGACTGCAACTAGCTTGCAATTGAGGCTCATGCGGGGAAATAGCATTAAAAAGAGATTAACGCCATTTGCATTTGAAAAGACTCCAAGCATTAGCCTTAGTTGCAAGCTATGTGCAGTTCTCGTCCAACACTAGATACAAGAATATGAATATGGTCTATTGTTGAAACATGAGATATAAAATTTTTACATGTAGGTATTTCCAATTTTTGAATGTTCAGCTTGTTTCTCACCTGTCGTATTGTTTACTTTCAAACTCAACATGAGCATTGTTGGCAAGTTCTCGTTCAGCATCAGTGACACCCACTCTAGGAATCACCTCGGCTTGAACATCTGTATTATCCACTGGAGCATCTGACATGGTGCTGTAAAAACCAACAATAATAATGACTGAATGGCTGTTCTACTTATGTATCATAATGTTACATTATGTATTGTTTTTTATACTTGGAGATTCTAAAATGTACTTTGACTCTGAAGAAGTTGACAGTATAGGAAATCTGTCACAATGTAAATATAAACACATACTCATTTCGCTACTCACCCAAGGACAATTGGGTGCTGATAAATTTTGAACAAGCCTCTCTACACTTATGTATTAACGCAAGAGTATCAGTAGTTCAGAAAGATTACATCAACATATGTTTTTTTTTTAATTTTTAATT